AATATAATCTCAATGTGAACTTGGTCCAAACCCCCTATCCAACCCTTCATAGCACAAAAATGATCCTAAATTTATGATTTGACCTCCCATTCCCTTACACCTCATTCCAAACCCTTAGAAAATCCACTATCACCTCTTACCCTAACTGTAATATCCATTTATGAGACCAAAATAGGTGACCCAACCCTAAAATATTTGTTGGAATTAAAATCAAAAATAAGAATAATTATTATTTGCAATTATTGTCAAATTTAGTTCAATTATTACACAATTTATTACAAATATATTAGTTGATTGTTATTTAAAAATTAAGTTGTGTGTGATATTTAAGCAAAATTTTAGTTAACATTTGTTTAAGTTAATGTCCATTACGTTTAAAGAATAATCTCATTTACAAATTGTATTACATTTATTGATATGATAATAAATATTAAATAAATTGCATACAGTGTATAAAAATAATTAAGAAACTAATCGTCAGATTTATTTAAAAACATTTTAAAAAATACATTAATAAAATACAATGTTATGTTTTGATACAATGATTTTTGAAAAATAGGCTTTTGTTCATAATATGGTAATTATAATCAACTCGTATCTTAAATATACTGGTAACTGGAATCAACTAATACTTTGAAAGTTTTGATAAATAACATAATTTAGAAATTAAAAAAATTGTTTAAATATTTTGATTACGATTTAAGGGTGAAAATCATTTGTCACTAATAATTGGGTAAAATTTAAAATCATTTGAGTGATAATATAAGATAAAATGTGTAGATGCAAAGTATAACATATAAACTAACAAAACATCTCATTTTTGTCTGCATTTACATAATCATAATTAAAGATGGGCTCAAACATGGATGGAGTCATAGGAAGTGTAGACATCGGAGACATCCATTTGAATGAGTGAATGTCCACTGAATGAGTGGGTGATGGCGGCGATGGCAGAGATGGTAGCGATTGACTCGAAGGCGACTCCATTTGAATGATTTTGGTCAGGAATTTGCTTTGATTGAGGTTTGGGTCAAACTTTGATGAACTCCTCAACTGAAAGGCCTGATAGACCTTATCGAGTATGGCCTCCTTGGCCGCCTCAACGTTCACCTAATCATCACATAACGGATCCAATGAAATAAATGTTTCGCAAAATATTTATAAAAATCAATGAAAAAAACTAAAAGATATTACAAGTAATGTATGACTGAATGCATAACACATAACACATAACACAGTACTACTGACTCGAGTGCCGGTGACTTCAAAGGAAGGGTTCGCGGCGTCGCCTTTGGGTGTATTGATGCGAGTGTTGGTCTGCTCTTTGATTTTTATGATAACGGATCCGTTGCGGCCGACAACCACTCCCACGTACTGTTGCGGCACTTCCACCAAAACAGTCACTTCGCCGACGGCGCAGGTGTTGGACCGGCTCTCCATGAGTCGCGTGAAGTGATTGGAGGCCTTCTCGATGGCCGCCACAGCCATCCGCACGTTGTCGGGATGTCCGGTCACCACAAACACGGGCTCATCGCCTCTGTATGGGGTCTTAATACAAGTGCCCGTCTCTGTCCGCAAAAACTTTATTTTTGAGCCGCACTTCCCTGTCATTCATGTCTCAAGTTTTACACATTTTTCGCAATCAATGTCTTTGAGTAAACGTAATCACAAACTCATCCAAATACAAGTAATCACCACGAGGTGGTCAACTTACCCACTATCTGTGCCACATGTTCACTGGTGGGCACCGGTACCATTTGGGTCACTTGCTGGGACTTGTCCATAGGCTCTGAGCGTTGCATTGAAGTCAACACATCAACCAAATCTGAAATCTCAATGAATGCGTGATTAATAGACATCTCTCACAAAAACTTTGCTACAAAAGTAGTGCACAAAACAAATAGTGAACAAAAGTTGTATTTTCCAGAGTTTGTATGATATGTGAGTGTTGTCTACAACGTTAGACTTATGAATGAAAATGACTTTTGAAAAAGTTTTCGCAAATTACATATGACTACAAAATTCATTCAACTTTTTATTCATTGAAATGAAAGTGCAATACTTTCACTACTAATATACCAATGAGTGGTCAGTTTGGCGTCACTTTTGTAATCTGAGATCCCTTTCCATTAATCCAATAAACTTTTTATTATTATTAACACTTTGATACCTTTTCAAATACAGTATAATTCCTAAGATTAATATACCAATGAGTGGTCAGTTTGGCGTCACTTTTGTAATCTGAGATCCCTTTCCATTAATCCAATAAACTTTTTATTATTATTAACACTTTGATACCTTTTCAAATACAGTATAATTCCTAAGAATTTTATATTTTATGTTCAATTTGTTATCTGATTACAAATATGTTAAATGTCTTTATTAATATGCATTCAAATCCTCATATTTGACTGATAGGTGGATCAGACCCTCAAAGACCCCCCAAATAACAGTATCTATGGTTAAGTAACGCATGTATGCTTTACAAGTGAATTATTAGTTATATCCTTGAGCTCAGTATTTCATTCAAAACTATTATACTAAACATATATTGAACTTTAAATTATATTTTAAGCTAATATGTATTATACAAACAAAATTATTTTCTAACTTTTATTCATTTAACGAAACTTGTATTTTTCAAATTTTTGTTCATTAAAAGCATGGGATATGACAATTAATAGACCAAATGCTATCCTATTATACAACACTTTTGTTATATTATATTACAATAGTTTCCTTTAATTATATAAAGAGTGAAATATCAGTCAATGTATTGATTTATTTCCTCATTTAGTTTGCTATTAAATCTAACATTAAAGTTGTGTTACTTTTATGGATAAAT